CCTTCCTCCCTTCCTCCCTTCCTTGTTTCCTCCCTTCCTCCCTTCCTTCCTTCCCTCCCTCTCCCTTTCTTTCTTTCTTTCTTTCTTTCTTTCTTTCTTTCTTTCTTTCTTACTTTTTTTCTTCCTTCCTTCCTCCCTTCCTTCCTTTCTTCCTCCCTTCCTTCCTTCCTTCCATCCTCCCTCCCTCCCTCCTTTTCCCTTCCTCTCCCTCTCCCTCTCCCCTCCTTTCTTTCTTCCTTTCTTTCAACAGATATGGAACCTACACTACCCTAAAACTTACCAAGAAGCCCACACTGGCCTTGAACTCATTGTAATTCTCCTGCCTCAGCCTCTTCAATAGGATGAATTACAGGCATTTGCCACTCACACCACATACCTAGTTAAGTGCTCTGTATATTAAAGTTTGTGAAACGGTCTACATTTTGTCACTTAGAGTAGGCTATCTAGCAATGAGGCCTTCCTTTTATAAACACTTCCTGAAGGGACAGTCAGCCTTCCTATTGCAGAGCCTGCCCCTTTCCCCATGAGGGCTAGGTACTCACTCATCATGGTTGACCTGCCACTGGTTTATGAAGATACAGCACTCCTTGGGAATGTGATAGCCATTCAGTGAGGTGTCCCTTGTTGTGCTGAGGAAAGAAGAGAGTCCTGTCCAGCTCAGGGCTTGGAAAAGTTGAGATGTGATGTGTTCCTTCCTCCACTTACATCCCAGAGTCTGACTACCACAGTCTGCAAACCCAGAAATGGGGATCATGTGAGGGTCAGGGAATATGGGGCAGTCATCTTTCCTTTTCTGGGATCCCGCTCTTCAACATTTTTTTACTGGACTCGCTTTGTGCTCAGATGTGCACTGGGGCAGTCTGAAGATAAGAAACCAGCAGTTGGGGCTCACCCTGAGGACTCTGCAGCCTTTTGTACCAGAAATAACTAGGCTCGGGTGTGAGCCGAGCTAAATGTTCGCTCTTACAATCAGGGAACATGGGCTGAAAGTTCTACAAATCATCGGAGGATGAGTGAGCCAAAAGGAGCTTCTACGTGGGGGAATGCACAAGTCAGGATTGGCGTTGGGCAAGAGTAGAATTTGGGAGCCAGATACGTGGGTAGAAGTCTCAAACAAAGTTGGCAGGTGGCTGGATTACCCTTGTGAGGGACAATGAGGAGGGCCTGACTGGAGAAGAGGTCCCTAGGGAGTAAATACAAGTGGAGGTGAGTGACAGCTAGGGCCACAGGGGACTGGACTGGGTGGGATAGCCCGGAGACTGAGGTCAGGAGCTAAGGACACGATTCAGGACTGAGATGGATCCTGAGTTGGGGCCAGAGCTCGGAAGTTGGGTAGAGGAAAGTATGAAAACCTGGGGGCCACGGAGTGGGGGCCTTACCTGTGGGGGATGGTGAAGGGGACAAAGGACGTGTATCGGTAGATCTCCAGGATGAAGGCCTCCAGATATGGCAGCTGGGGTCTGTCAGAAAGCTGGGGCTGCCGATCTCTGCCAATCACTGTATCTGGAGAGCACAAGCGGACTTCGTGGGATGCTCTGTCTGCTGCACACACTTGGGTCTCTGTTGTACTAGTATCCCTCTGTCCATGCTGGACTGTGTTTACTTATGTTTCTGAGACCCCCAGAATCCAACCAACCAGCCAACCAACCAACCAACCAACCAACAATATATCTGGGCAAGTGAGAGATGTCATATGCCTCGGAGTTACACATAGTGGACACATAAACATGTATTTGTAGGTCAAGTGACCCAGAGCCTCAAGGCTTCTCTGACTTTAGGGTTGGGAACAATACATACCCAGTTCCTCATGTATCTTCCTCTGCACCTTGGGCTCTGTCACAAGTATCAAAAGGCTCCAGGTGATGGCTGTGGTAACTGTTTCAAATCCTGGGCACAGGGAGTGGGGCGAAGGAGAAAAGAAAATGGACAAATGGACAGAAGGAAATGTTTTCTGTTGTTGTTTTTACCAAGCACTAGCATAAGTGGAGCAAACTCTCTCTCTCTCTCTCTCTCTCTCTCTCTCTCTCTCTCTCTCTCTCTCTCCCATCCTGTGTACCCTGAGAAGGCTGAGTCCTCAACAGAATCTTAGAAACTGAGCTTGGTGACTTATATCTAGAATCCCAACACTACGGAGTTAGAGGCAGGAGAATTGTCCTAAGTTTGAAGCCAACCTGGGATATAGAGGTAGACCTAGTCTCAAACCTAACAAGTCAAAACCAACCAAATTGGAAACCAAAACAAATAAAATCCAGTAGACACTTGTTTCTCAGTCAGCAGCTGGGATTATAAGCCTGTGGGTAAACCCAGACCTCCAAAGGAGAGAGACTTAGTAGAGTTACTCTCAGGAGTCAGTGGGTAGCGTGAGGTCATGTGTTGATCCTAGGACAGGTGTCTGTCCTGTGTCACCTGACATGGTGACACATGAACTGATAGGTTGGGTATGGGTGAATAACGGTTGGTGCATGGAGGGGCAGGGATGTGGCTCCTACCAGCTCCAAAGATGTCATTGACAATGTTGACAATCTTCTCCTGAGGGATGAGACCACCATTGTCTCTGCTGTTCTCACTGTGCTTGAACAGGGCACCTGTGATGTCCTGGATACTGTCCTAGGAGGACACAAGTTTAGGGGAACTTTGACACTTCCAGGGCCAAATGCCCAACCTTGGCCATCCCATTTGATATACCCCCGGGGCCTGGGAACTGCTTTGGCCTCCAGGCCCTGGGCCGGAGCTCAGATTTTTTGAACTAACATCAGCCCTAAGTAGAGCACAGTTGTTTCATGTGTCCCTGACCCTTCTTTCCCATAATCCCAGGGCTCAGGTTTCAGAGGAGGAAGAGGTAGGATGAACACAGGGAAGAAAAGTAACATGAAGCCGGAGCTTATTTAGCCTTTGTTGAGGCTCATTTTCCTGCAGAACAATAAATCTTTAAGTTAGTGACCCTCCCACCCCCATATTACAAAGTTCCGCCAGGGCTCCATTCACATGCCTTTGCTTTCTGGGGCTTGGAACAGTCCCCAGACTCAAGCTGTAAGGAAGAAGGAAAGGCTTCAGGTCATACAGCTGTTAAGTAGCCCAGAACTTTCCAAGGTCTAGGCAGGACATGGCAGTCTGAGTATCTGGGAGTAGGATTCCAGGGGGCATTCTCTGACGGTGGTGCCGGGGTACAGCCTGTCTCCCAGTCTTACCTTGTTGAAATCTTGATAGTGCTGCTGGACTGTTTTCTGCAGAAACAGCACAAAGTTATCATTGAAGTTTTTAAACTTCTTGAGGGCTGGGTTGGGCAGGTAGCGCAGGATCGGGAAGAAATCCACAGCATTCCCCGAGGTGACGTTCTCCACGAAGTCGCTGCTGTTCCTCACGATGTTCAGCATCTCCTCACTCTTCTGGGGGAAGTTCTTCCCAAAGCACATGGCTCCAATGACGTTCGCTACCGATCCCACCACCTGGTTGACGGGCTCGAAGTGGCCAACCTCTGCCATCTGCTTCTGGAGCTTGCTGACTAAATTGTTAGCCTCCTTGCTCACGTGCTCCTCCAAGTAGCAAGAGGATGCCGACGTCGGGTCTGAGGCTATGGAGAAGCTCTTCAGCGCATCCTGGGCCAGGCGCCGGCGCGCAGCCCACACTGGTCCAGAGTCTGGGTTGAAAGTCATGCTCTTCCCGTTAGTGATAAGAGTGAAGCTGTAGAGGTCTGGTCGGCCCTTGAAGTCATCTCCCTGCCTTACCAGGGCCTGCTTGATGGTGTTCAGGCCGCTCAGCACCACCACAGGAGTGGAGCCAATTCGGATCTGCAGCACGTCCCCATACTGCTGACTCAATTTTGTCAGTGACAAGTGTGGGTTCTTCCCCAGGGTCAGTATGTGCCCAATGAAGGGCAAGCCCCAGGGTCCGGGTGGACTCTTCAGACCTTTGGGAACCCGGGTCCTTGTGGCTCTGACCATCCAGAACACTAAACAGAAGATGACAGTGGCCAGTAGCAGCTCTGGGGCTAAGGAGATGTACTGGAAGAACGCCATCTGTACCACTACAGGGGAAATGGAAAGGGAGAGTGGTTGAGGATGGATTCTGAGCCTTCTCTTTATTCCTTAGCTCACTCGTTCAGTAGGTGCCGACATACATTCTATGTTTGACTTTCAGTCACACATCAGAAAAGTGAACATACCTGTCACGTGTCTTGTTCTTTCAGGGATTTGCCTTGACCCCATCACAAAAGCCAAGGGCTGGGAAGGAGCCTTGCTTGCATTTACAACTGTAGTGTCTGGATTTCCACCCCAGGCTGTTCTGTCTACCTCTCTCATTTCCAATTCTGAGACTGGCATGGATGCAAGTGACCACTCCAAAACAATGATGCTAAAGGCATTATTGGGGCTCCTCAAAAGCCCCAATAACAGAGTGTTTGCTGCACTTTCTGCCAGAGGGTCCAACACATTGTTGCTACCCTCTACATACTCAAATAACAGAAGTTGCCCCCTTGCCCAATTGATAGAAGGCCACTGTCCTTGGGATGATATCCATGACCTGTGCCACCCTCCTTTCCCAGTAACACTCTATACATACCCAGCAGAGGTAGCTCCTCCAAAAACAAGTCTTCATTTACCTCTATGCTTAAACCGAAGGAGGCTACAGCCAGGTCTGGGGCTGCCCAATGCCAGGTGGATATTCTCTCCCTACTTCTTTACTCCAGGCAACTGTCCTTAGAAACAGCCTGGCTGAAACTGTTTAATTAAAAATGATGGGCTAGTGAGATGGCTCCGTGGTTAAAGCACTTGCTGGCAAGCATGATGACCTGATTTTGATCTCTGGAATCCACATGGTAGAAAGAAAGAACTGACTCCTGAAAGTTTTCTCTTAGCTCTACACATAAGCTGTGGTGTTCTAACAGACAGACAGACAGACAGACAGAGATACACACATATACATATAAACACACATACACACACACACACACATACACACACACACACACAGCAGGGAGGTTTTTAAAAAGAGAAGCTAAGGTGGGTCCCCATTCCTTCATCTCTAATAGCATTTAGGAAATAGAAACAGATCGCATGATCTGAAAAGACACACAGACATACTTACCTAAAGGGCAGGGGCTGGAGACTGGCAGAGGTGTGGGAGTCAGTCTAAGACTGGGTTCCAATGAGGGGCCTTTTATAACACCACCCCCTCTGGACTGGCCTAGCGGCTCAGGTCACTCGATATCACAGCTGGATACTGCACAAAGCTTAAAGGATCAATTCTTGGCTTCAATTCAGGAGCCCTCAGCTCTACCTTCCACTTGGGGCTCAGGAATAGCTCTTTGGGTTCTGGGTCCATGGAAATAAAAATCCATGGAGATTTAAAAAAAACATGACATTTGGAGGTCAGGGTATATTTCTTTGAAAGAATACACTTCTTTCAAAGACAGGGCAGAGTTTGGGGTGTAAAACTTAGGCCGATGGACAAATATAACCTCTTTTCCACCCATGAGAAAGGGACGTGCCTAGCCCCCAGGCCAACCAGGGGCAGCTCATGCTCCCCACGGAGGCAGATAGGGAGGAACATAATTCTAGTGACGTGTCTTAATGTAACAATCTACCTGACAAAAGCAAGGGACGGAAGGAAGGAGTGGAGGCTTATTTTGGTTCACACTTTGGGAGTACAGTCCATCGTGGCAGAGGAGTTGCAACAGCAGGAGTGTGAGGTGGCTGGTCACATGGCACCTGCAGTCAGGAAGGAGAGAGAGAGAGAGAGAGAGAGAGAGAGAGAGAGAGAGAACTGCTGACACTAGAGTCTTTGTTGTTGTTGTTAACCAGGGACTGCAGCAGCCTAGGGATGGTATAGCCCACTCTCAGGAAGGGCTTTCCCTCCTCAGTTAACCTTTCAGGGAAAGTATGCTCCGAGGACCATCTTCTAGGTGATTCTAAATCCCATCAAGATGACACTGGTTAGTAACCATCACATGTATGGTCTAGCTCCCTCATCACACCCCACACCAGTGTGTGTGTGTGTTGTGTATTTTTGTATTCTAGAGGGAGGCTCTCTCGACACCCTCCCTCCTGTGGAAGATGGTAAGGAATTAAAAGCCAATAAAGACAATTCATGGGGGCTGGAGAGAGAGGTTAAGAGCACTGGCTGCTCTTCCAGAGGGTTCAATTCCCAGCACCCACATGCCAGCTCACAACTGTCTGTAATTCCCATTCCAGGGGATCTGAAACCCTCACACAGACATGTGTGAAGTCAAAATACCAATGTACATAAAATAAATGTAAAGAAATTTTTTTTTTTTTAAAAATTTCATAGCATGGATTGTTCCTTATGACAACTGGCTTGGACTCTTCTGATCAATACTATTGGAGGGAAAAAAATCCAAATAAACTAGACAAGTTCCAGAACTAAGAAACAAAAGAATTAAAAGTAAATGCAGGGCTGGGTATGGTGGCACACATCTCTAAGCCCAGCATTTGGGAGGCAAAGGCAGCTGGATTTCTGAGTTCAAGGCCAGCATAGCCTACTAGTAAATTCCAGGCCAGCCAGGGTACATCGTAAGACCCTTAAGAAAAAACCAAATGCATATGAACTTGGTTGGATTCTATTTTAACAAAAAGAAAAATTTAAAGCTATAGAAGGCATTTTGGGGTGCTCAAGGACATGGATGCGGACATGGAGATTAAATGACATTCTCAAATGGACACCAATTTTCTCAGATCTGACATACAGTCATACTTACTGTAACGGCCGTTTCTTTTGTAACGGCCGTCGGGTTCTGCTACTTTGTAAAGGCCAGCCGGTTCTGCTGCTCCGGTCGGCAGGTCAGGGTCTAGCAAGAGAGAGAGAGTGGGGACGGAGGAAGGGGAAAAAAGGGGCGAGAGACGCAAAAGATAGATACAAGACAGAGTCCGGTGGCGTCTCTTCAAGTCTCTTCTTTATTCTCCTCTCTTCTTACTATATTCTCACTCCTTCAGTCTCCTGACACCTCTCACTTTCTCACTCCTTCCTCTACTTCCTACTACCTCCTACTACTTACTACCTCCTACTTTCTACCTCTTCAATAGAAAGGAAATCCGGGTATTTATACCCTTTACCACGTGACTTGCCCTCGTGGACAATCTCAACTGAAGCCACTACGTCACGTGCCTTGTAGCCATGGATACCAGGAGCACCTGGCAGCTGGGGGCACTAAACAGTGTAACAAGATGTTTATCAGAGTGCGCTCAGCTATTGCAGGCTGTTGAAACAAGTCTCTTGTCAGGGTATATGGCTCAAGATGGCTGTAAAGATGATAGCCACTTTCGGCTAAGAGTCGGCTCCCAACACTTACATGATATCTTAGTTACTGTTCTAGTTCTGGAAAGAGACACCATGACCAAGGCAACTCTTATAAGTTGTGAGTTGGCTTACAGTTCTAGAGAGTTAGTCCGTTGTCATCATGGCAGAAAGCAGACAGGCATGGTGCTGGAGCAGTAGCTGAGAGTTTTACATCCTGATCTGCAGGCAGCGGGCAGAGAGAGATCAAGATTAGGCCTGGTATGGGGTTTTGAAACCCCAAAGCCCACCCCTCCAGTGACACACATCCTCCAACAAGGCCACATCTCCTAACTTTTCCCAAACAGTTCCACAAATAGGGGAGCAAACATTCAAATGTATGAGCTAGGGGGCCATTCTCAGTTAAACCACATGTAGGAAGATATTCTTGTTCTTAGGAGGTCAATGCTGTATGCTTTAGGGGTGAAGTTTCATGATGCCAGCAACCTTCTTTCAAATGGTTCTGTTTAAAACAAACAAACAAACAAACAGCCCTACATTTTGGGACTGCTGAGAAGGCTCAGTGAGTAAGGGCTTGCCACCAAGCCTGATGACCTGAGTCAGATCCCCAGGACCCACGTGGTGGAGTTGTCCTCTGATCTCCACATGTGTGCCTTGACACATTTATGTCTTAACAAATGTGTCCTCTCTTGACCCACCTGTCTGTTTTTCTGTCCTGGCTTCTCAAACACAATAGATAAATACAATTTTAAAGCATATATATATATATATATATATATATATATATATATATATACACATATACATATACATGTGTATGTGTATATGCCAGGTAGTGTCAGTGATTGTGGTGGTGGCAGCAGCCAGGTGATAGGAACTCAGTTCATGATGCACAAGTAGATTTCTGTGAGTTCAAGGCCAGCCTGGTCTACAGATCAGGTTCCAGGATTACAGAGAGAAACTCTGTACACACACACACACACACACACACACACGCACTAAGCTTCGGGATTAACTTCTGCAAGTGTTAAGGACGAAAACTCCAACAGAGTCACAAAGCTGTTTTGAAGACAGCTGGGAAGGAAGGAACACAGTTTCCTGTCTGAGTCTTTACTGGGTTCAGCTCACTCAATTAAAAAGGGTCAACCTGAAAATCAGGCTAAGTTTTATACAAACTCATTTTCTTCTTTCTTCTTGACTAAATCTTATGGCTTATTCTATTTAGATGCCTCTCCTCCATTTTTTTGATGAGACAGAATCTGTCTATGTATTCTTGGCTGTTCTCAATTCACGATGTAGACCAGGCTGGCCTCCAATTCATAGAGATCTGCTGTCTCTGCCTTCAGAGTGCTGGGATTAAATATGTGTGTGTGCCACTATATATCCCTACAGCTACAGATGTGCTTTAAAAAAAACATTTAAATGTACGTGTCACTTCATACACCCAGGTGTGCTTTGAAAAAAAAAAAAGGATAATAAACCAAACAACCCACCTGGTGCCACATGACCAGGCCAGAGCATGAGCCCAAGATGACTACCAGTCTGGTGCCTTGAAAACCCAGGCAGGCTGACCACACCCAAGACAATCTCCATCTGGTGGTACTTGGCCTGGGCAGGGTATAGCACTCCTGAGCCAATTCCTGAGGCACCCAGTTACCCAGAGGCCCCGGGGCACCACTAAGAGGAGCAAGTGAGAGATGGGGAGACGGAAGAGAAAGAGAAGCAGAAGGATGTGAGCACAATGAAGGGAGGCAGAACTAGAGACTTA